ATAGGCGTGCTTGTCGCAAAAACCAATTGCTACGTAATTCAAAGTGTCACCAATCTTTAGATTGCACTAATAAGTAAGTACAATTTTATCATATGTTTTGCAAATTCATTTCCCTAATTGTAATAATATTTTAAACCGTTTGATTTTTGTATTAAAGTTTTTTTAATTGATTGATGATTGATTCAATCAACTAATTTGTTGATTGTTTGATTGTATTAACTTTAGATATTGAAAATTAAATAAATTACATTATGTTAATTTCAGCGTACAGAAAGAAACGTTGCTGTTGTTCCAGCAAAGATCTTATTTTCACTTTACCGAGTGCCTAGTAGGTAATTCAAAGATTACCTAGATAATCTGCAGGTTACCTAGGTAATTTGAGAAATGGAATAATTTTCGCAGTTTTAACGGACCACCCTAGTTAATCTGCAGATTAGCTAGGTAATGTGCACATTAACGGATTTCGAGCTTTAGCGGTAACGTATACATATAATCGAGATGGGTTGATAATATTAATAATAATAAGAGTACAGCCCAAACAATTAGGAGTTGAAAGTTGAAATTTGGTACATAGAGTACGTCACGAGAACGCATACTAAGAAGAGATTTTTCGAAATTCCTCCCCACAGGGGGAGAGAGACAGAATTAAGGCTTAACACTTTCATCAACAATGGAAGTGTTAAGCCCAATAGTAAATGCTAAATGCTGATAAGACGACATATACAGTACTGAGAGCAAAAATGTTTCACAAGACACCTAATGTTTCATAAACAATGGAAGTGTTACTTAACAATGAAAGTGTTAACTAACAATGGAGGTGTCAACAATGGAAGTGTTACGTAACAATGGAATTGTTAAGAGAAAGCGACGTGCAAGATGCAGATGCAGTTTTTTTCGTTTTCGCGTGAAATCGAACATATTTTTAGACCCATCTAAAAATTCTTTAATTAGTCCGAAAACGGGGAGATCCAATTCTTGCATTTTGTGAAAACAGGTAAGGTTGACTATAACATAATCTTAATCTTTGCTATGGTTACTTTTGCTCGAGCAATGCCAGGCCTAACTGCTAGTATTTCTAATAATTACAATCTGTTGAATAATTCGTTATTGTTTTATTACTACCTAATATTCAAATAAATCTTAATTAAAAAAAATGCTAGAAAAAAAAAATCAAAAGTTTGTAAGCGAAAAATAGCATAAATACCATGAATTTCCTACCTGTGAAAACGTTAAAATTCTTCATGAATAAAAGTTAAATACGTGGTTTTTATCTAATATATAATCGAGACTGGTTGATGATAATAATAATAATAATAATAATAATAATAAGCGCAGAGCCCAAACGGTTAGGAGTTGAAAATTGAAATTTAGTACACAGATAGGGTACGTCATGAAAACGCACACTAAGAAGGGATTTTTCGAAATTCCCCCCGGGGGGAGAGAGACAGGATTAAAACTTCTATATACATTATGGATACGAGCCCAAACAGTTAGGAGTTGAAAGTTGAAATTTGGTACACAGTTAGGGTACGTTAAGAGAACGCACACTAAGAAGGGATTTTTCGAAATTCCTCCCCACGGGGGAGAGGGACAGGATTAAGGCTTAACACTTCCATCAACAATGGAAGTGTTAAGTAACAATGGAAGTGCTAAGTAACAATGGAAGTGTTAAGTAACAATGGAAGTGTTAAGTAACAATGGAAGTGTTAAGTAACAATGGAAGTGTCAACAATGGAAATACTACGTAACAATGGAATTGTTAAGAGAAAGCGACGTGCAATACGCAGATGCAGTTTTTTTCGTTTTTGCGGGAAATCGAACATATTTTTAGACCCATCTAAAAATTCTCTAATTAGTCTGGAAACAAGGGGACCCAATTCTTGCATTCTGTGAAAACGGGTAAGGTTGACTGTAACGTAATAATCTTTATCTTAGTTATCGTTACTTTTGCCCGAGCAACGCCGGGCCCACCTGCTAGTAATAATATATTTTGGAAAATAGCATCAAATACATTTTATGTGTTCAGTCAATGCATACAACTATTTATTTAAACTATGACTATTTATATAATATTTATATAATTAACGAAGACGGTAATTACTTTCTAATTGTCATTATTTAAGTACTTTATTTTAGAAATTCGCTTCATTATCAACTACACTCAATATTTAACTTTTTTCTTAAAATTGTATTCGTGTTTTTATCGTGACAAAACATACCATTTGAAAAAGTATAATTTTAAGAT